GGTTTAGGGTTTAGGGTTGGGTTAGGGTTTAGGGTTAGGGTCAGGGTTAAGGTGTAGGATTAGGGTTAGGGTTAGGGTTAGGGTTTAGGGTTAGGGTTAGGGTTTAGGGTTTAGGGTTTAGGGTTAGGGTTTAGGGATTAGGGTTAGGGTTAGGGTTAGGGTTAGTTCTTAGGGTTTAGGGTTAGGGTTAGCGTTTAGGGTTAGGGTTAGGGCTAGGGTTTAGGGTTACGGTTAGGGTTAAGGGTTAGGGTTTAGGGTTAGGGTTAGGGTTAGGGTTTAGGGTTAGGGTTTAGGGTTTAGGGTTAGGGTTAGGGTTTAGGGTTAGGGGTATGGTTTGTGTTGAGGGTTAAGGTTTAGGGTTAGGGTTAGGGTGAGGGTTTAGGGTTAGGGTTCGGGTTCGGGTTTAGGGTTAAGGTTTAGGGTTCAGGGTTTAGGGTTAGGGTTAAGGTTTAGGGTTAGGTCATAGGGTTTAGGGTTAGGGTTAAGGTTTAGGGTTAGGGTTAGGGCTAGAGTTTAGGGTTAGGGTTAGGGTTAAGGATTAGGGTGTAGGGGTTAGGGTTAGCGTTAGGGTTAGGGTTTAGGGTCAGGGTTTAGGGTGTAGGGTTTTGGGGGTTAGGGTTTAGGGTTAGGGTTAGGGTTTAGGGTTAGGGTTTAGGGTTTAGGGCTAGGGTTTAGGGTTTAGGGTCAGGGTTGGGGTTGAGGTTAGGGTTTAGGGTTAGGGTTAGGGTTTAGGGTTTAGGGTGAGGGGTAGGGTTGAGGTTAGGGATTAGGGTTGAGGGCTAGGGTTAAGGGTTCAGGTTTAGAGCTTAGGTTAGGGCTAGGCTTAGTGTTAGGGTTTGGGGTCAGGGTTAGGTCTACGGTTAGGGTTTAGGCTTCGGGTTAGGGATTATGGATTAGGGTTCAGGGTTTGGGTTAGAGGTTAGGGCTTCGGGGGGGTCGGGGCGGGGGTGGTAGGGATGGGGTTCCGGAGCCGGGGCGCGAGCCGGGGAAAGGGGGGGGGGGGGGTTCGCCGACGACGGTTCGGGGAAAGGGGGGGGGGGGGGGTTCGCGACGACGGCTCGGGCAAGGGGAGGGGGGGGGGGTTCGCCGACGACGGCTCGGGCAAGGGGGGTGAGGGGGGGGGGGGGGGGGTTCGCGACGGCTCGGGCAAGGGGAGGGGGGGGGGGGGGGGGTCCGAACCCCCCCCCCCCTTGGGGTGATCCAGCGGCGCGCCCTCCGTATATTATGTAATACAGGTTATGTAGTCTATGTGGAGCAATCTAGATGGTGCACTATTTGCGGGGCGCTGCATGTGGTGCAATCGAGGTGGAGCAATTAATGTGGTGCAACCTATGCTGTGCAATCTATGTTTTGCAATATATAAGGTGCAACCGATGTGGTGCAACCTATGTGGTGCAATCGAGGTTGCAATCTATGTTGTGCAATATTTATGATGCGACATGGGTTGTGCACTCTAGGTTGTGCAATCTATGTGGAACAGCAGATGTGGTACAATCTATGCTGTGGAGTTCACTTTGACCGTCTTGAAGCTGTCCTCTCTACTGCTCGTGCAAACATCCCACCCTCCCACCCGCAACTTGGTCGCAAGACCTCTTAAGACAAGGCCGTGACGGTAGGTACCACATGGCACTTGGCCACCACACCGACGCCGACGACGACAGCGACGTCGACGACGACGGCGCCGCCGACACCGACTACGACGATACCGCCGACGTCGACGACGACGAAGACGACGACGACGCCGACGCCGACGACGACGAAGACGACGACGACGTCGCCAACGAAGACGAGAGAGGAGGGAGGACGACGACAGCGACAACGACGACAACGACGATGGAGGATGGAAGAAGGCGACGACGCGAACGACGAAGAGGGAGGAAGGACGGCGACGCCGACGACGACAACGACGAGGGAGGAGGGAAGACGACGACGACGACAACGACGACGAAGACGACGACGACGCCGACGACGGACGACGACGACGACGACGACGTGGGAAGAGGACAACGACGAGGGAGGAGTGAAGACGACGACGACGACGACGACGACGGCGACGAAATAGGAGGGACAACGACGAAACGCCGACGAAGACGACGAGGGAGGAAGGACGACCACGGCGACAACGACGACGGAAGCGACGACGACGCCAAGACGACGACGACGAGGAAAGACAGAAGACGACGACGGCGACGACGACGACGCGGACGACGAGGGAGGACGGCGACGACGACGACGACGACGACGACGACGCAAGAGCGCGCGCGCACGCTTTTGTTGAAAACCCGTGTTGCGAAACCTTGTGTTTTTGTAGGTTTTTTGGACACACGATTTTGAAATCCTTCCGAAACCGATGGGTTTTGAAGGTTTTCGGCATACGCGCGCGACGACGCGCGCGTGTGCACTTCGTCCCATTTTTTGCAGGGGGTTCTCGCGACGGCACACGCGCAATGGCGTTCGACAGATTTCGACATGAGCGCACGCGAAGCCCGTTTGGTAGCATTTTGTGAAAATCTAGAAGAACCAATGGTTTTCTTAAGATTGCGCAAGAGCTTTCGCGGAAGCTTTTTTAGCAACTCTGTGTTGCGAAACCCTGTGTTTTTGTATGTTTTTTTTGGAAACTCGATTGCGAAATCTTTCCCGCACCGAAGGTTTTTGAAGGATTTCGGCATGCGCGCGCGCGACGACGCGCGCGTGTGCACTTCGTTTCGTTTTTTGCAAGGGATCCGCGGAAAAGTGTTATGTTAGAACAACAAATGTCACCGCATAGTGTTTTTTACAAGGGAACCTCAGAGGGGGGGCAACCGGCCTAGCTGGGATGGTCTGATTTCATATTTAGGATGGACGAGTGTGCAGAATATATATATATATATATATATATATATATATATGAAATCGTATTATCCCAGGGGGAACCGATAAGTCGGGGGGGGGGGTAGAGTCTATTGTCTTTTTAGAAAGGAGAACCTGTGTTGTGCAATCTGTGTTGTGCAATCTATGTTGTGCAATTTATGTGGCGGCGGCGACGGTGGACACAGGGCGGCGACGGCGACAACATAGCTGCCAGACCGCCATTCAGGCACAGACGACGGGCTTCCACGAGGCGGCGATGGGCGGGCGACTGCGATACCACAGCCCCGGACCGCCATTAAGGGGCGTCGACGAGGCGGCAACGGGGCGGCGACTGCGACAACATAGCCGCCAGACCGCCATTCAGGCTTCCTCAGAACACGTTAACCAGCGTGGACCTCAAACAGTTTGTTTCTAGCAAGCAATGGTGTGCACCACGTGTGGAGCAATCTATGTGAAGCAATCCACGTGGAGCAATCTATGTGGTGTAATGTAGAGCAACTTACGTGATGCAATCGACGCAGTGGAATATAAGTGGTGCAATCCGGGTGGCGCATTCTATGTGGAGTATTCGAGGTAGTGCAATAGTTGTGGGGTAATCTGCGCGATGCAACCCATGATGTGCAATCTAAGTGGTGCAATCCAGGTGGTGCAATCCAGATGTGCAGTCTACGTGCTGCACAGTGTGTGGACCAGTCTAGGTGGTGCAATATATGTGCTGCAATCCGGGTGGTGCAACATGGGTAGTAAAACCTATGTTGTGTAATCTATGTGGAGCAGTATGCATTGCATATGATTATGCAATAGGGGTTGTGCACTCAAGGTTGCGCAACATATGTGGTGAAATCTAGGTTGCAATCTATGCTGTGCAGTAGTTATGATACACTATAGTTGGTGCACTCTAGGTTGTGCAATCTATGTGGAGCAGTATATGAGGTGCAACCAATGTTGCTCTTGATGCTGTGAAATATATGTGTTGCATCCTATGCGGCGGCTACGAGGGCGGAGACTGGGCGGCGACGCCGACAACAGCCGCCATAGCGTCATCCAGGCACAGACGACGGGCTTCGACGAGGCGGCGACGGCGACAACATCGCCCCAGACCGCCATTAAGGGTCAGACGACGGACGTCGACGAGGCGGCGACGGGGTGGCGACAGGGTGGCGACGGGGCGGAGACGGCGACAGCATAGTCGCCATACCGCCATTCAGGCCCAGTTCCTCAGAACACAAGTAAGAACCCATAAGCACTGATTGGGGAGCAAGGGAAGAACCCGTAAGTGCAAGCACTGTTTGGGGAATCTACATATATACATCTGTATATATACATCTACCTTCCTACCTACCTACCTACCTACATGCATGCATGCATACATGCATACATACATACATTCATACATACATTCACAGATACATACATACATGCATACACGCCTATCTATTCGTATACACACATATATATACAACTATTTGTATATCGATATTCGTTTTCTGACCGTCGCCATACCTGGATCCGAAGGGCCTGAAACCCGGGGCCATCGACTCCAGATTCGGAGGACCTCACACGAGGCCTTGGAAGCGATATATATATATTTATATATATATATGTACATATATATACACATACATATGCGCATATGTGTGTTGGTACATATATATAAATGGTTTATACAGGGCCTTTCGAGAAAATCCGTTTGGGGAAGGACGTCTAGCACATTTCCCAGACATCTGGCGCTCCGAAATTCTTGTCGATGCGTGGGCTTCCAGGACCTCTCGACCCCTTGCCCCGGGCTGTTCACGGTCCAGCTGCCCGAGCCTGGCCTCCTGCGGCCAGACGTGGTGACATTGGCCGCGTCGATTGCGAAGGCCTTGCGGCCGGTGCCGCCGACCCTGAAGGGGGACGACGACGACGACGACGATGACGACGACGACGACGACGACGACGACGACGACGACGAGGACGACCACGACGACCACGCGCCGAAGGGTCGACTGGTGCCGCCGACCCTGAAGGGGAAGGGGGATAACGACGACGACGACGACGACGGCGGCGACGACGACGACGACGACGGCCGCCTCGATTTTATGTGAGGCGCCGTGCGTCTGGGTTCGAGGATGCGCGCGCGCGCGCGCTCGCGCACGCGTGCCTCCGAGCCCCGCGGATCGGGAGGACAATGCCAAGCTCCACGCGTCGCGCGAGAAGGACAGCGAGATGCGCGGGAAGCACGCGAGGAGGGCGGAGAAGCTGTGGGGGATCGGGAGGTCCAGGATCTCCTCCCAGGCCTCGGGCCCGCTCGGGCCGCTCCTTGCGGCCGGCGGCTGACGCGACTGGCGGCTGGAGGTCGTTGCGGCCAGGGGGGGAGGCCCAGGAGGAGGAGGAGGAGGAGGAGGCGGTGCAGTCAGTGCGTTGAGATAATCAGGGGAGGGGAACCACCTCGACACCCATACTTTTCAGGCGAACGCAAGCATGGATCAAAGGGGCGTGGATTAGCGACGGGTCCCATTTCCGTGGGAAATCGCGGATTTCCGCCGCCGAGCGAGGCGGCACCGGCCGCATTTTGGGGAGGGCACCTCCCCCGATCCATGGATTTGGCGACCGCGCGCCTAATCCATGGATCGCTAATTTATGTTTGCGCGCCCCCGAACTTTGTGTTTGCTGCACGGCGCTGGGCGTTTACTGAGCAGCCCTGCCCTGCTCGATGCCGTCTTTGGATGCGCGTACTGCATGCCTCTGCTTGTCGGGGTGCTTTTCATGAGGGCGCTTTTTCTAGTGTCTAGAGAAAGTGCAGATCGGGAGCTGCTCGGTGGTTCCTTAGGTTTGCGTGCGTCCCCTTGTTTTTGTCGAGGCGAGCCCCCTCGGTGCTTCTTCGGATTGCGCGGCCGCTCCTTCGGATTTTACCGCTCGGCTTGGAACAAAAACTTTGTTTCTGATTTATGGTTCTTTACTGCAAAGGCCTTACGGCCAGTGCCGCCGATCCTCAAGGCGGGACCTCCCCCAGGACCCCCGATGGCGGCTCCCCTCCCCAGGACCCCCAGGGTCCCCAGGGGGGCGGTATTCTGATCCGGCGGGGAATGGATCAATGGGAAGGGCTTCCCTTCGACTTACCTGCGGTGTTCCTCACTGTCTTTATGGCTGGTGATTGAGGAGGCGGCGGCGACGACGATGACGACAACGACGACGGCGACGACGACGACGACGACGACGACGGCGACGACGACGACGATGACGACGACCACACGCCGACGGGTCGGCGGGTTGCAGCATTCCGACCGTACCACTGCCGCTGCCCCTTCCTGGAGGGCCCTCGCCACCACGGCCAGGCTCGCCGCGGGATCCGAGGCCAGGGCGCGACCCCCGGGAGTGGGGGGGGGCCTCTGGGCTGGTTTCGGTCCCCCCCGGGACTACTGGGAGTAGGTCTGGACTGGGGTGAGGAGGAGGAAGAGGGGAGGAGGAGGAGGAGGAGGAGGAGGAGGAGGAGGAGGAGGAGGAGGAGGAGGAGGAGGAGGAGGAGGAGGAGGAGGAGGAGGAGGAGGAGGAGGAGGAGGAGGAGGAGGAGGAGGAGGATTTGTTTTTCACGCTCAACTCTGCTTGACCCCCAACGAGCGGCACAGTCCAAGGAGAGGGCAAACACTGTACGTTCTTCTCCCTCTTGATCTGCTGTGGGTGTCGGCCCTGGTTAAAATAGTTCCAGGCCGTAAGTCCTGCGCCAGTCTTCTTTCTGCCGCAATCTTCACCCAGCTTCTTGACGCGGCCTCCTGTGCTGTAAAAGCCACATCGACGGCAGATACAGAGGAACGAGCCATCTGAGCAATCAACCACGGCACATTGGTGATCATATTGCTCTAAGAGGCACGGACTGAGGCGGGGCGGCACAACACAGTGGCCAGGCGCAGGTCGCGCCTCACCACGCTTGCCTCTCAAGCACGTGCCACACTGCCAATACTCGCCCGTCCAGGCCCACTCGTGAGGCGTCTTCGACGCCAGAGCGGCCTTGGACGGCTTGATGAATTGCACGCCAGATAGATCCAGCCGCGGCCATCGTGGCAAGATCTTAGCCGCCAGAAGGATGACGGCCTTGGAAATTTGTATCTCGCGCTCAACGCGAGACAGCGCATCTGGAGAGGCCTGGGGATGGACTCCTGCACCCTGCTTCGCAGCAAGGTCCGCTTGAAAGTTGCCAGTCCTTCTTCAATATCTTGTGCGCGGCCTCCCAGCTTCTTCAATATCTTTGTGCGCGGCGACTTTCACAAGCACCTGGAGGTTGGGACCCGCCCCAGAGAAGGCTTCCAGCACCGAGCCCGCATAGGCCCGATGCCCCCCAAGGCGGTCCCTAGGATCCCTGGAGCTGACCGAGACCACCGACGCACAGTCACTAAACAGAGACGCGGGTCCGTCCAAGTTGACCCCCGCCGCGGCCAACGAGGAGAACTCACCAGCCTGTGAGGACTGCGGCAGGTGCGCCCAGACAGGTCCAAAAGCTCTGGCCAGCATGTGGCCTTGTTCAGACATGAGAACGAAGGCCCACCCAGCCCTAGACAACTCTCGGACTTTGGACTGAAAGCAGCTACCATCCAGGAGCAGGCTTCCTTCGAAGCGAACATTCTCGGACCCAGGGAACACGAACCCCGAATCCAGGAATCCCTGCTCGAAGAACTCGACCTGAACCCCGTCCATTCCTTGCTGACTGACAGGCTGCGGCACGTAGTCTCCAGGATGGGCACAAGCTCCAGTCAGGAAATTCACCAGGTCTCCTGAGTTGCGTTCACACGCTTCACGAGCCCAAGAGATAACCTCCACTCCAACTAGTTCTACCCGCTCCTCCTGACAGACTTCACATTCCCATAATCTGTGAAACACTGAATCCACCTTAGCGTGGCACAGCGGGCACAAAGGACTGACCTGGTAGCCGTACCTTAGCGCGCGGGAGTTGGTCCAGAGAGCGTTGCACGTAAGAGCTCGCACTGAGCCCTTTTCCCAGGCCGTGAGTTTTTTCGAGCGGAGCCCAGCCGTGACGACATCGAAACAGAGGCGATTCGATCCATCAAGGTCGGGGGGGACCCGATCGGGGGCCAACTCCACGGCAGGCTCAGCTAAGCCTTCGGCAGGCTCAGGAGGGAGCACACCGGTGCCACAGAAGAGGTCGCCGTCCACCAGCTTGCCGTATGCCGCTCTCTCAAGCTGGCGAAGCACGGCTTGGTGCAGCAAAACCTTAGAGAGGGCCGGCGAGAGCTGGGTGCACGAGAGCTCGCGCCCCTGGTCATCCGTGAAGACGGCCATGCTCTTCATATCCCAACCAATCCTCCTAAGACTCATGTACATCGCACTCATGGGTCCCGAAACGCTCCTCCAAGTTATAGCTTTCTGGCGACTGGCGAAACCACCATCCCAAGAAGCCCGAATGGTGGCCCAGTCCAAAGTACCAGGAAAAGCATTGGTCCTGAGAAGCCAGACCTCTTTGACATATCTCAACACGGGAGCGACCGAGCCGTGCCAGACAGGATCGCCCTCTAAGAGAGATAGGACGGTCAGCGACCGACGGGCAGCATCAGGCTTAATAGCACTTGCAGCAACACGCCTGAGACTGTGGACCTCTCCATCCGTCAAGCCCTGGACTTCGCAGCCATAAATGTAACCAGGCATCGGTCCTGAAGTGAACACTCTGATAGCCTTGCGACCAAAGTGAGAACGAAGCCGTTTCGACCTGTTGGCTTTTTCGCCCCATCTTCACCTTCCTCTCCTTGCGCTCCCTCATCCTCCCCTTGCCCGGTCTGAAGCTCCCTCCTGCCGTGTCGTCACAGCCAAGGTTGACCGCAGAAGGGTCGAGCACCCCGAGCGGGCCAAGGTCAGCCTCCAGCTGTCGGCCCAGAGAGTCGCAGGAGCACACCGAGGCCACCTTGTCGAGAGCAACTAGGCCTCCTAGCATTCCTCCTCCTCCTCCTCCTCCTCCTCCTCCTCCTCCTCCCCCTCCCCCTCCCCCTCCTCCTCCTGCCATTGACACTGAAGAACTCGGATGCGAAGCTCTGCGCTGCAGCTGGCAATCGCTACTTGCGCACGCTGGCCGAGCAGTGCGTTGACGACGTGCAGCGTGGCTTCATCCGGGGCCGGACCTTCACAGACAATATCTGGCAGTTGGACCTGCAGGCGCGGGCCCAAGGCGTCGCACCATTCGCGGAGGAGCGTCGCCCAGCCATGTGCTCCTTCGATGTAGCCGCGGCGTTCCCGTCCCTGGCACGCCACTGGTTGTTCGCCAGTCTGCGGAGAGATGGGCTGCCTGCGGAATACCTTCTGCTCGTGCAGGCGCTGTACGTTGACCAGTGTTGCTGGGTTCGCTCCGGCGGTGCACTCTTCGTGCTGGCCCTCTGGACTCCGGCGTAGCGCAGGGGTGTCCCCTTAGCGGCACTCTATGGGCCCTGGCCTTCAACCCATTCCTCGCTGGCATGCAGAAGATCTTGATTGAGCCTTCAAGCAACGACATGGCGAGGAGCGCCAGGATGAACATGGAGTACGACCGGCATGTCCTCCGCTGGCGCTGCGGCAGCCTAGCGGCGGGCGCGGATGACCTCGGACTGATCGTGACCGCCCTCGCGCACATTACACGTTTGAAGCCGCACTTCGAGGCCATGTCGATTATGGCCGGCCTCCGGCTCCAGCCGTCGAAGTGCGTTTTGGTTCCGCTTTGGGGCATCCTTTCAGATACAGACGTTGCTGCTCTCCGCGTGGAACTGGGCACTCTCATGGAGGGATGGGAGGACTTCAGAGTTGCGAGCTTCATGAAATACTTGGGCGTCAAGCTCGGCCCAGGCGCAACGAACGACATGCAGTGGGCGGAGGCGGCAGGCAAGTACCACATGCGCTTGTGTCTACTCCGGGACTGCCCGGCGCCAAACGAGGTGATAGTGCGCGACTACAACTCGGCAGCGCTGCCCGTGCTGAGCTACCTCATGCAGTTCTTCGTTATAGACCCCAAAATATATTTCAGCGAACTTGATGGTTTACATCGCGTCCTGCGCTGCCCTCCCAAGGCGTTCACCAGAAACGACCTGCTCAGCATGCGGCGCTGGGTGTCCATGACGTCCTTCACGTCGATGCTCGCCCTGTCCTTCGCTACGATGTGGCGCGCAGCGGCGGTCACCATGACAGAATGGCCGAGATGGCTGGAGAGCTTGCGCGAGCATGCGCTTGAGGAGGGTTTGGCGACACGGGTGGTACAGGGGCTGTGGCCTGCTCCGTTTTGGAAGGAAGAGCGCGCCATGGTCCAGACGTTCGATGACACCTCTCGG